ATTATTTATTTTTGCATTATTATTATTTTATAATATTTTATGTTTTGTACTGCTCGATTGATTGTAAGTATGAATATTTCTGTACAAACTTCAATTGTGTTTTTCTCAAAAAATATTTTCTTTTATAATATTATTATTTATATTGCCATTTTTTTTTGCATTATTATTATTTTTATAATATTTTATTTTTTGTACTGCTCGATTGATTGTAAATATGAATATTTCTGTACAAACTTCAAGTGTGTTTTTCTCAAAAAATACTTTATTTTATAATATTATTATTTATATTAATTTTTTTGCATTATTATTATTTTTTTTGCATTATTATAATATTTTATTTTTTGTACTGCTCGATGAGTTTACAACGTCTATCACATTAAAAAAAGGGAACAATTTTGATCGATAAATAATTTCTCCCAAATTTGGAATTGGCAATTTGTTTATTCAAACAAAGTTTGATCTTTTAATTTCGTTAATATATTTAGCGATATACTTTTGGAAAGTTTCTTTTTATACACAAAATTCAGACTTTTGACTTTGGTCTGGAATTGCGATTATAATTACCGATTATAATTAATATCATCATCAATAATAATATAATATATATTATTACAATCAACATTATGTCTGATACTGTACGATATCGTATGGTTGTGATTACAACGACACGATGATTTTTCTCTATAGAGAAAGCAATCTTGATTTTTAACTTCAGCCTAGAACTACGCAATAATTTGTAAAATTGATTATAATTATCATTATATAATGTTACCATTAAAATAACAACTTGATAATAATTAATGAAATGTTAGATTAATAATAATATAATATTATACGATCATGATAATCACCATTGCTGTGTTTAATATTGTACGCTATTGCAATCGTAGCTTATCTATTGGCATAATTGTGCAAAGTTTGGATAATCATTACTGAATACACCAACTCTGACTTTTGACTTTAACCTAACATTGCACGATAATTCCAATTAGAATTATTTACCGATTAATGACCCTTTGTTATCATTAATAATAATACGATATAAATATAATTATAATTAATAACACGATACGATTACAATCACCCGTCACGTCTAAATGTCATAGTCATTGTCACATCTCCACGTAAAACGACTGCAAGTATTGAAATTGGAATTCAATCACCGTTCTCATCATTTTATATTATCATCGCGTCGAGACTGTGGTGGTTAAAACAAGTGGCATTAAGATTAGCGTCAAGTTTGATTACACCGGCATTAATTATCTCAACAAATCCTATTCAGACTTTATCGATCTATCAGAGGTTCTGGTAACTGAAGCTTTGCCATCAGGCGATGCTCCTTTTCTTTTTTTTTTTTTTTCTTTAATCTTCCAATCAGCCAATTCACACGGTGTATTAGCGATTGCAACGCGTTCCACAATTATCAGCCTCGCTAAATAAGGGACGTCAGGAATTTCGTGTCAGCGATGATACTCGAGAGCTTTAAATAACTCGATCGATCGAGGCGCGCGACTCCGTTCTTGCTGCGAGAGCAACAGAGAGAGAGAGAGAGAGAGAAAGAACTGCACACTCGCGTCAGCACCGAGTAATTATTCTAAACTGGAACGCGATTCCAACGATTTCTTTTAAAACCAAATCGTATGACTTTCTTCTCTTCTGATTTTTGTATTCTTTGTTGCCTTTTTCTTCTTCTTTTTTAAAGAATCCTACAGAGAGAAAGAAATGCTCCTAACTGAGAGCAAACTGAATTTTTCTGCGAATAAACAGAGTGGTAATAGTAAAAAATAGAGCAGCGATAGTAAAAAAATAGTAGTAATGGTGACAATTCTCATGGTAAATGTTTTGAGACGAAGTGAAATTGACATTTGACCTTTAATTTTAATTTTAATTTTTAATTTTTGAAATTAAGTAGTTGAGTAGTAATAGTAAAAATTAAGTAATTGAGTAGTAACAAAATACAGTAGTGATAGTAAACAATAGAGTAGTGGTTAAAATTCTCATGGTAAATTTTTTAAGCTGAACTGAAATTTGACCTTTAACTGTAATTCTAAAATTAATTACCTTTAATTTTAATTTTTAATTTTAAAGATTAAGTAGTTGAGTAGTAATAGTAAAAATTAAGTAACTGAGCAGTAATAGTAAAAAATAGAGTAGTGATAATAAAAAATAGAGTAGTAGTTAAAATTCTCATGGTAAGTTTTTTAAGTTGAACTGAAATTAACATTTGACCTTTAATTATAATTTTAAAATTAATTATCTTTAATTTTAATTTTTAATTAAAAATTAAGTAGTTGAGTGGCAATAGTGAAAATTAAGTAACTGAGTAATAATAGTAAAAAAATAGAGTAGTGATAGTAAAAAATAGAGTAGTGGTGAAAATTCTCGTGGCAAATTTTTTAAGTTGAACTGAAATTAACATTTGACCTTTAATTGTAATTTTAAAATTAATTATCTTTAATTTTAATTTTAAAAATTAAGTAGTTGAGTAGTAATAGTAAAAATTAAGTAACCGAGTAGTAATAGTAAAAAATAGAGTAGTGATAATAAAAAATAGAGTAGCAGTTAAAATTCTCATAGTAAGTTTTTTAAGTTGAACTGAAATTAACATTTGACTTTTAATTGTAATTTTAAAATTGATTACCTTTAATTACCTTTAATTTTAATTTTTAATTTTAAAATTAATTACTTTTAATTTTAATTTTTAATTTTAAAATTAATTAAGTAGTTGAGTAATAATAAAAATTAAGTAACTGAGCAGTAATAGGAAAAGTAGAGTAGTGATAATAAAAAATAGAGTAGCGGTTAATTCTCATGGTGAATTTTTTAAATTGAACCGAAATTGACATTTGATCTTTATTAACAATGTTAAAATTAATTACCCTTAATTTTAATATCTGACTCTTCAATTTCCACGAAATTTTTTTAATCAACTAAATGCACGTGTCGAACGTATTGCTTCCAACTCAATGGATTTTGAGTTTCAAAGTAGTTGCACTACTTTCTCTATTAAGAATTATTGCTTAACGAGATACTTACGTTTTCGGGGTGCGTCTGAAATCTCTGATACAGTTCCTCGGGTGTAATTTTGTGGAAGTCAATGTCCAACTCCTGCTTCAGGTCATCCAAATTGTCCGTCTTCCGCTTTGGATTCTTCCGCCGCGACTGTTTCGCAAAAGATGAACACAGATTAATCGTAAAGTAAGAGAGCAGATCAGGAGGATTGTAAGTTAAGGATATTTTTGGCTTTTTGGAGGACGTAGGTATAGTTACTACGTAAGCAGCGCTATTAGCAATCATTTGAGTTCGAAAAAATATATAAACTTTCTCCGATATTCCTTCGGAATACAACGAAAATAGATTATGATATTATCTTTAACGAAGATCGCAAAAAATACAAGGGGAGAATATTTAATTTTTCAAAGTTTCAAATTTTTAAATTTTAAGTCGTTTGAAAACATACTGATCGTTGCGATATTTGATTCTCTCTAAAACAAAAAAAAAAAAAATATCTTCGAAATTGGTTCTAAACTCCACGAGATAAATTTTTCAATTAAAATACTGTCTCGTAAATTCGATTCAATTCGATTGATTTGTTAATTTAATTAAACGATTCTTCAAACGAATCTTCAACTCGAAATTTTATTAAGAGAAAGAAGAAGAAGAAGAAGAAGAAGAAGAAGAAAAAAGAGAACGTTTATCACGATCTTCGTTAAAAGAGAATTTTAATTAATCAAAAATTAAATTACCCTTACACCATTCAAATTACTCCTCAATATATCATTTCATAATAGAAGTATATACGATTGAATCGATAATTATAATTATAATAATTGTATAATCATTAATTACAAAGTATATTTCGTTTCGACGATCGTACAGAATCGTCAGGAGACCCGTTACATACAACCCATCAACCCTGATATTGGTTAATCGTTCTAAATGAACTCATCAAGATGGAGAAAGTAGGCGACAGACGAAATCCCAGAGAGAATTTCCCTAAGCCACTCGAGTCGTATTGTCACAGGAATATACGTTAATTATTATGCGTTATAGATGTTACGTAGATCGTGTTAGTACCAAGTGTCATAGCTAGTTTTGAGTAATAGTGCGCATAATATATATATATATATATATATATATATATATATATATATATAGCGATGTACAAGAATTTCTAGTAAGATAGATTTTTCACATTATAAAAGTGGTAATTGAATTTTGAAATTTGGAATTTTGATAATTTGATAATTATAGTGTTTGAAATTTTAGATCTTGATAATTTGATAATTATAGTGTTTGAAATTTTAAATCTTGATAATTTGATAATTATAGTGTTTGAAATATTAAATCTTGATAATTTAATAATTATAGTGTTTAAAATTTTAAACTTTAAATTTTGATAATTTGACAATTATAATAGTGTTTTAAATCTTGATAATTTGATAATTATAGCGTTTAAAATATTAAATCTTGATAATTTAATAATTATAATGTTTGAAATTTTAAACTTTAAATTTTGATCATTTGACAATTATAATAGCGTTTGAAATTTTAAATTTTGATAATTTGGTAATTATAGTGTTTGAAATTTGAAATTTCGATAATTTGACATTTACAGTGTTTCATTATTTATTAATTTATTTATTGCGTCGTTTTTTTTTTCGCTCAACGTATGAAAGTACATCAATATTTTCTCAGATATCACTCTAACACTAGAACAAAATGATCAAAATGATGAATTCATAATATTGGATCGATTTCAGGTGTAAAATAGAATATTTTTAGATTTAAATAATTTTGAATAATTTTTCGTAAAGAAAAAATCTTCTCGCTTTAATGTCTTTGATTTTATGCTTCAAACGTTGCCAATTCCAGCGTCAAACAGTTATCGCTACCTCGATCACGTAAAAAAATGATATCAATCCTTTCTTTATCAAGAAATTTAACTCGACACAAAAAGTTTATGACTTACAAATCATTTGCAAGAAAAACCGCGAAGGAATATCGCTAATTTCGCGTAATTCTAATATCCAATTTTAAAAAGTCACAAAGTGAAAAATCTATCTCGCAAACTATCGCACATCGTCGCACACTGAGAGAGAGAGAGAGAGAGAATCTGTATCAATTCCAATCACCATAGAAGAGAAAATCAGACTTTCACGGAAGATGCAGAGTAGATAGACGAGAAAAGAAATTGTCGAGAATGTGTGTCTCTCTCGTTGGAAAGAACGAAGAGAGAGAGAGTGAGAGAGAGTAGAGAGGTACGAGAGAGCTCGAATTTTGAAGAAAATTTTACGAAAGAATACGTCACCGGAGAACGTTTGCGATTGTTAGAGTGAAACGACGATGGGGAAAAATAGTTAGTTCAGAGCCGAGGAACAGAGAGAGAGAGAGAGAGACAGAGAGAAAAGAGGAAGACCAGAGAAGAACGAAGAGAATGGAAAATTTTCTTTGTGAAGAAAATTCACGTGAGAGAGAGAAAAGAAAGAGAGTGAGTTGCGATAGAAAACGAGGACAGAGAATGGAGGATCTGTCGTCGATGAAGCAAGCCCCGAGAAAAATTGCCAGCGTAACACAAATGGAGAGCCACCGCGGACCGGAAGTCACGCGGTGAATACCTTGTACATCCCGTCGGCCGTTTTGTTGTCGTCGCGAATTTGCGGTATCGTTGCGACCCTGTACGAGTCGGAGCGGCCATGCTGTAAAAAATGAGATGAATAAAAAAAACATGAGAGATGAGAGGCTGCGAGAAAAAAAAATATATACACACATACATATATATATATATATATAAGAAAGAAAATTGTAACTATAAAGGAAATTATAAATATAAAAAAAAATTATAAACATAATAAGAAAATTATGAATATAAAACTGTACATATAATAAGAAAATTATAATGTAAAGAAACAAGTCAGAGAGAAAATTATAACATGAATATACAACATAAATAAGAAAGAAAATTATAACATAAATAATTGTAAAATAAATAAGAAAGAAAATTATAACATAAATAATTGTAAAATAAATAAGAAAGAAAATTATAACATAAATAATTGTAAAATAAATAAGAAAGAAAATTATAACATAAATAATTGTAAAATAAATAAGAAAGAAAATTATAACATAAATAATTGTAAAATAAATAAGAAAGAAAATTATAACATAAATAATTGTAAAATAAATAAGAAAGAAAATTATAACACAAATAATTGTAAAATAAATAAGAAAGAAAATTATAACATAAATATGTAACATAAATCAGAAAGAAAATTGTGACATTGATGTATAACATAAATAAGATAGAAAATTATAACATAAATATAAAAGAAATCATCGATGTGATGCAATGACGAGCGGACGATCAAATTAAAAAATAAATTCTCGTGCCTGTGGGATCATTTTCAGTGGATTTGACTTGTTTTCAAGCTCGAGATTTTGATACTTCAGGTTATATTATCTCTCTCTCGCGATTGTGTTCTTTGATTTGAAATAGCCGCTGTAAAATATTCAGCACGTTTTGAGAAAGGACGAAATATTCAGGGGGGAAATGAGAAATGTATATTATATTATATTTGAAGGAAATGAAAACTGAAGAAGAGAACGAGAGAGCTCGCCGTTTGATTCTTATATATAATTCGTCGTTTGAAGTTTCAGTGTTCAGTGTAAAAAGCACTTAGGGGGGGGATTTTTAATTTCGTAAAGTGGTGACTACGTGCCCACTCTCAAAATTGGAAATTTCTTAATTTATTTAAAGTAAAGCTTCAATCCGCGTATGCTCGGTGCAAAGAGATTTGAAATTTCAATGTAAATGTTAACTTGGCAACCTTTGGAATCGACAATTCCCGGCTTTATATTCACAGTGTAGAAAATTGGAATATTTTACTTCTTCGAAGCACAAATTCCTGAATTCACAAAATCCTAATCTCACGAAATTTAAATATCTGCAAGAACATCCTCCAGAAATTCTTCAATTTACGAAATCCTGATCTCGTGAAATTGAAATACTTAGAGAAAATACACATTCTTCAAAAATTCCTAAATTCACAAAATCCTAATCTCACGAAATTTAAATATCTGTAAAAACATCCTCTTAAGAAATTCTTAAATTTACGAAACCCTAATCTCGTGAAATTTAAATATCTGTAGAAACATTCTTCAAAAATTCCTAAACTCACGGAACCCTAATCTCCCGAAATTTAAATATCTGTAAAAACATCCTCTTAAGAAATTCTTAAATTTACGAAATCTCGTGAAATTTACATCCGCAGAAACATTTTTCAAAAATTCCTAAATTCACGAAACTTTAATCTCGCGAAATTCAAATATCAGCAGAAACATTCTTCAAAAATTCCTAACTCTGCGAAACATCAATTCGTAGCTCTGAAATTCTTTCTCCTTCGAAGCTTCTAAGCATATTTTTATTTTTAATATTTTTCGAAAAAAGAAAAAAAAAAAAACGAAATATTCATCGAACGATCCATTTTCCGCGATTGCACGTGTTAGGCGTTTGGAGACACGTGGGCTGCGTGAATCGATTAAGCCAGAGACCACGTCACAGCCGCAAGCCTAATTTTCAAGAGCGACCTCGGCTCGCTGGCTGTTTGGATAACGACTGCTTCCGGTACCGGTTTCACGCAGGCGTGTCGCTGAAAATCGCTCGATCCTTGAACAACCTTCTTTCGGTCCTTGAACGGATTCACCATCTCCATTGTGGCGAACGCTATTGTTCGTTCGATCTATGTATCGTACGATCATCGATGCAATTTTGCAAACTGAAGAATGAGCAGTGACCAGTGTTTACCAGTTCATTGTTGACGAGATATTAACAGGCCTTTATTGGTTTCCAATTTCATAATTTTAATGTGCCAAAACTGAATTTTAACATAATAATATTTAACGTACTAACGTTAATTTTAATAATATCCAATTAAATAAATACTTCCACTTTGATCCAATATAAATTTTAATACAAATCCAATTTCACAGTTTTAATCTACTAAATAAATAATTTAATATACTAAATATACAATTTAATATACCAAATAAATAAAATATATTAAATATTACTCTCTTGTATTATTTATTCATTATATTGTTCATTGATGGAGATTGTGAGATACTGATGCTTTTATTTTAGATGGTTGATGTATTAAGATATAATACTACGTTCATTAATGTGGTTTTACAAACTGGAGAACGACGGTGAATTTATTAGACAAGTTTATTATTAAAAAAAAATTGAGGGTTTACCCTTTATTGGTTTTCAATATTTTAATATGTCTTTAATAAGACAATAATAGTGTGCATGTTCATCGACGTAGATTTGCAAATTGGAGAATGACACTGAATTCCCGAGTCTATTATCATTATAGAAGTATGAAGACGTCCTTATTGATTTCCAATATTGCAATTTTAATATAATAAAATAATAACACTATGTCCATATCGACGTAGGTTTACAAACTGGAGAATGACACTGAATGCTCGAGTCTATTATTATTATAGAAGTCGTTATTGGTTCTCAATATTATAAATTTAATAATACTACCAATATTAAAGATGCCAGAAATTTTTAGTTGATTCATAATTGGATTAAGAAAAAATAGTAGTAATATTAAATATTAAATATAATACAAAATAATTAATATTAAATATTAAATAATTAATATTAAATATAATATAAAATTTCTCGCAACAGAGATTACATAAGACAATGACATTCGATTAAATTGTACATCCCAAAACTAAATACGTAAATTTGAAGAAATTTAAGAATCTTACAAATAATATCAAACAAATATATTCGAAAAGTAAATTCTGTCTAGCCAACTATCACGAACAAGTGCTCGTTTAATTTGTTTCTTCACGAACGTCCAATCATTTATTTTAACTGAAATCCATCATTTATTTTAATTGAAAGAAACCTTCAATTTCATTCATATTAAATTCCCGAGGGGAATTTGCATAGTTTTGCAAAATTATCACGTTCATGTAATACAAAAGAAACCAATTTGCAGAGATGTCGTCACTAATTATTAGCCGTATGCTCATTAATTGAAATACTTCCATTGCATAAAATAATATGCCAACAAACGAACAGCGAAAAATAAAGTCTCTTTCGATCCATCGAACGAACAATTTGCAATTTGTTTCGCCGCGTCTGGAGCGTTTAAATCGGAGGGCGTGGTTTCGTCGAGGCGAGGCACGAGAATATTCGGCGACTATTTTCAGAGAAACGTTTTCCACGATGATCTTGCCCGTGAATAGACGTAATCTCGTTTCCGTTAGCGCAGAGGACGCGTACAAACGATACTAACGTTTCAGGTTGATAAAGCGCTGATAAAACGTTCCACGATGGGGCTGCTGCTGTGTTTTCCTAAGCTTCGAGCCTCAGAAAATTGCTGACGAGTCACGAATCCGCAAGGGTCCGCAACAACCCCTCGTCCGAAAAAGACAGAAAGATTACGTCGTACAATACTATTGCTCGAGAAATTTATTTATTTATTTTTTCCTTTTCTTGCAACTTATCTGCTATTATCCGCGCATCCATTAAATTCATCTTTCATTTCTCAATTCTCTGTTCCTCCGATTCTTCCCTCTGTATTTTCAATTCTAGATTTAATTCCGCAATTTAATTCGTAACCACTTGCGCTGGCAACTGATTGCGGACCATAACGAGTGACCAAACCGTATACAATTCGTCGCTTTCTTTTTTGAACTCGTCGGTACGATATTCACTGGACAGAAATTATTGAAAAGTAATAAATTTGTTATTTGCTTTGTCTGGGTTATACTTGAAAAATGTTGCAATTTTGGGAGAAAAAAAATTCTCGACGTGCACGTCATTCCAGCGCAAGAGGTTCACGACAACTGATTGCGGACCATAACGAGTGACCAAACCGTATACAATTCGTCGCTTTCTTTTTGAACTCGTTGGTACGATATTCACTGGACAGAAATTATTGAAAAGTAATAAATTTGTTATTTGCTTTGCCTGGGTTATACTTAAAAAATGTTGCAATTTTGGGAGAAAAAAAATTCTCGACGTGCACGTCATTCCAGCGCAAGAGGTTAACGACAACTGATTGCGGACCATAACGAGTGGCCAAACCGTATACAATTCGTCGCTTTCTTTTTGAACTCGTCGGTACGATATTCACTGGACAGAAATTATTGAAAAGTAATAAATTTGTTATTTGCTTTGCCTGGGTTATACTTAAATATTAGTATTGATAATTAGTACTGAGAAAATGTTGCAAATGTTTTGGGAGAAAAAATTCTCGACGTGCGCGGCAAGAGGTTAAAAGTAACTCCAAACTTTTTCGAAAGTAATTAATAAATTTTAATTCCTAGTTTTCCGTATAAAATTCGACATACATTCTGAATTTTCATGCTTTCATTCTTAAACTGTTTTCTACTTTATTGTCTATTCATGTGACTATTAATTTTATGTCCTATTTTTCAACTTTCTCTTCTTTCAATTCTGTATTCTGATATCCCTACTTTTTAAATATTTGTATTTTTAATTTTGGATTTCAATTCAGAAACATTAGTCGTACAATACAATTGCTCGCAAATTTCTTCTCCTTCATGGTGTTTGAGAAAATTCAAGTTCTGCACTTTAATTCTTAAACTGTGTTCTACTTTATTACCTCTTTTTGTATTTTAATTTTTTTTTTTTTTTTTAATTTTCTGT